AAGCACCATACTGCCTTCCATAGTGGTTGCACCATTTTATACTCCCACCAACAGTGGATAAGGGTTCCAGTTTCTCCACAACCTCACCAGCATTTGTTGTTTGCTATTCTGTTAAGTTTTGCTATTCTTACTGTGGTGAATTGATATTTGGACATGAATTTTCTGACATAGTGTCCCCTTACCCAAGGAAGGTTACTCCTTCTCTAAGGGTTAGTTTCTTTTTTATTTTATTTTATTTATTTATTTATCTATCTATCTATCTATTTATTTTTTTATGTGTGTATTGTCAAATTGGATCTGACTGGTACATAAGGAGATTGCCCCTCCTTTTCCAGCAGAGCATCTGGTGGATTCGAACCATGTACCTCTAGGATTATAGTAAGGGTTAGTTTCTTACTGGTAAAATGATAAACTTCTTTACAGTACTGAAATGATAACAGAAAGAAACATTCCAACCCTGAAGAGTCTTAAATGTATATCTCCAGTCCAGAACTCCCTTTTCTCCGAAATTTTCTCTTACTGAATTACATATCTTCATAAAATAAGCATCTCAGACTTAGCATCTAGGTAGACAAATTCTGAATCCTTACTGCTAAACAGTTGTACTTATGTTCTTTCCATACCCAAAGGCAAATAACAAGAGTTGGATAAAAACTGACATCCTTGGAATTTAACTTTTAGTAACAGTTCTCACATACTTGTTTTGAATAAATGGATATTGAGAGATATGGAATAAATTCTTGTACTAAAATGTGCTACCAGTGGTAGGCATGTAATCTAAATGTCTCAGCTCCAGCAACCTTTAGGGGAAAACCAGAAAAGGACTATAAAATAATATTTGACTGTGCTCATGTGCAACCTATACTTGTACCAGGTAGCCCTCCTCAGAACAGAGCAAGAAAGCACTGCATGGTTCAAAGTCAGGAAAGGTGTACATCTGTCCCTTTACCTTTTCAGTCTATATGCAGAACAGATCATTTGGGAAGGTGGGCTTTATGAGGAGAAATGTGGTATCAAGAATGGAAGAAGACTCATCAACAACCTATGTTATGCAGATTTACACAACCTTACTTAATGAAACTGAGGAGGGCCTGAAGGCTTGCTGCAGAAGGTCAAGGACTGTAGTCTTCAATGTGGGTTCAACATCAAGAATACAAAGATTCTCACTACTGGGCCGATTGGCAGCACAGTGATAGACAGAGAAGAGATTGAGGTTGTTAACAACATCAGCTTGCTCATATCCACAATCAACACTCTTGACACCAGCAGTCAAAACATCAAAAGACTAATTACATTTGGAAGTGTGCTGTCAGAGATCTTCTCCAAAGTACTAAAGAACAATAATGTTAGTCTAGAGACTAAAGTGCACCTGATCCAGACCATGGTCTTTGCAATTACTTGCTATGCATTAGAGAGCTAGATAGTGACTAAGGATGATAGAAGAAGAATCGATGCCTTTGAGTTGTGCTGGAGAAAAGTATTGAATATACCACGGACCACCAAGAGAATAAACA